TATATATAACCAACATAGATTGCAGATTAATTAATCTTTATGTAAGGTTGAAATGAAAAAGTCATTGTCAGAAGCAGGATTCGAACCCACGACCTTCGCCTCCGGACGGATCGATCGGACCACGAAATATAATTGGTGTAATAAGCAAAACGAAGTATATCTTCACTAAAGATTTCCGCGGCCATTTTATTTGTCGCCGAGAAAAATTTGAAAAATGGCAAAAAGGAGGGAAAATACAAAAGGTAGGTTGAGATGGGAAGTTGGTGTCCGAGTTGATCGAAGTCACGATAGCTCAAGTGGTAGAGCAGCGGCGTATTTAGCCGTAGGTCGTGGGTTCGAATCCCGCTCGTGACACTTACTTTTTCATTTCAACCAATACATCATATAACATTAATTAATTGAAAGAAGTTATTTGGTCAATCGAACCACGAAATATAATTGATAGATTGCAGATTTGATTAAAAACATAATATATCTTGTGAACAGCCTAAGTTTACTTTAAATAAATAAATAAAATTATACATTACTTTTTTCAGACTGATAACTTACAAATTAGATGAGGACCTTACAAGAAACTACTGAAACGAACCGATTAGAAAAAGAAAATTTGGAACAGGTCATTACATTAAATACCAAAGGAAAAAGTACTCTTAATAGTAAAACTATTTATTATTTCATGTTTCATTTTTATTTTTTATTGTTACTGATGGAACTATTGAAATAAATAAGGTCTAAACAGTTATTTTTTATTATAAAGTAAACTATTGGGTTGTCCGGAAAATAATGCAGGATTTTGGTATTAAACAAAAAAAAAGAAACTAGTTACTTTAAAGCAATGTTCTTTAATCAAAATAATTTCCCATACNAATCCTGTAAACGTAAACAGAATATTTTATATAGATTTTTTTTAATGAAAACTTAAAATCCTGCATTATTTTCCGGACAACCCGATAGATAGCTTAACTATTATAAAACAATTTGTATAATTAAGCAGCCTAACAAATGGTTTTGTACGTATCAACCTTGATTGCAAGTTCCCATTTTGCTTGAACATCTGGCAAGATGGTACACAGGTGTGATCAATTACTAAGAGACACCATGTTCTTGAGTTTCTGAGTTTGTTCTCGACATAACTAATTATTCCATGTTATGATCCTTTACGCCAATGTTTTGCCTTATATGTTAAAAAATGGAAATCCGTTTTATCATTATCCCCGTAAGAAACTTTGCCCTGACACCCGGCTTATTTAGTTAAGCTACAAAAGACTAATTAGCAAGAGTCAGATCGGTACAAAGCAATTACAAGTGAATTACATCGTGGGAAAACGTTTTCCTGTGAGTGAGGCTGCAGGCTGTTATCCTTCGGCCCGGTCCGTCTCCAATTGGTTGAACTAATTTCAATCAGTCTTGGTAATGGCTAAAATTAATTTGATAAATTTACCTTGAATACTGGACATGGAAAAGCGAGTGATTTAAAAAATGGAATAATTTTATAATACCGTTTAACCAAAATCGTCATGATGTTTGTAGATCGACCTGCAAATAATCAATGTAGAGTTCAATATCTTCTTTAAGGTCTTTACTAGGTGAAAGAAGGACAAAAGTGTTGGGATCACCAAGCTTTCGGCAACATTATGTTGCCATCATCAGGGCCTATTTATTAAGAAAATATACATAATTAATATACATTTTAACAATCAAAAAATCAAAAACATCAGTGCATACTTTCCCAAGAAAGAAGAGAAAAATTTTGTTGTTTTTTTCATCGGAAAAAAACAAATGCAATGGTTTAGGTTATGAAGCACATGGCCAGCATTCGGTTATATATGGTGAACAAGCCATCTATGTAAAGTAAATTTTTTTTTCTTTCTTGGGAAAGTATGCACTGATGTTTTTGATTTTTTGATTGTTAAAATGTATATTAATTATGTATATTTTCTTAATAAATAGGCCCTGATGATGGCAACATAATGTTGCCGAAAGTTTGGTGATTCCAACACTTTTGTCCTTCTTTCACCTAGTAAAGACCTTAAAGAAGATATTGAACTCTACATTCAAAATCGTCATTTTCAATGTGAATATTTTCAAACAAAAACGTCGTTTTCCTTATATTGATTGAACTCCATTTAAATTAAGTTATGCTTATTTCTTTCAGAACAAAAATGCTATCTTAATAAATAACAACTTTTTAGTGAATCAAAATATTGATTGAATGTAACTTAACACAGAAAACAGAAATTAACTTTGGACGCTTTGAGGATAGTGCACATCGACGTGTCGATGACCTGGCAGTTTTCCATTTGAAGAATTTAGCTAAATTATTTCTTCTGCTGTAGGTTTGTTAAGTATCTTCAGTCACCGTTTTGGGACGGATCAATTGATTTTCAACTATATGCCGATAGTAAAAGCGTTAATTTTTATTAAAATTGATGTAAGGAATGAAGTTCTCATTTGGAATTCTCATATGGAAATACATCCGTGGCAGCCTACTTAAGTAACTATCACTTCAGAAGAAAGAAATATAAAGCTAGTTAGCAAAAAAAAAAAAAAAAAAAAAGGTGAAAAGACTCTAGGATGACCCTATCCCTGGAAACTAATATACATATGTTATGCTGCAATCAGACTAAAATATGTTCCTAGTATCTGGAAATTACCAGAAGTTATCATGATACAAAAACCGGGAAAACTATCAAAACGAGGCGAAATCATATAGGCCCATATTGCTATTACCAACAGACTCTAAGCTCTTCAAAAAGTTATAACTTAATAAAAACTATCGTAGAAAACAAAAAATCATGCTATCCCACCAATTTGGACATTCAACAATCGACCAAATTCACCGAATAAAGGATGAAATAGAAAAATCACTCGGAGAAAAACTAATTTGTTCTGCTATCTTTCTTGATATATCACAGTCTTTTGCTGAGGTCTGGCATGAAAGACTTTCAGTAAGCTAAAAGGGATGTTACGAAAGCAATAAGTAGAGATTATTACTTCCTACTTAACTGACTGGCATTGAATGTGCAGTGAAGAGTCTGGAACTTTTTTTTTCTTCTGAGTTCTCTACCTTTCCTTTACCCATCTTTCCTATGTGACTACACCTGATCTTGATGTTTTAATACTCATTCAGAAATAGACCAAGTGCAATAAAAATAAAAGAAGTGTTACTCATAAAAGTAGAAGGGAAGTGAGGTTAGCCACAATGTTTTCTTTTGAGTTGTCTCAGATTGTGGACGAAAAAAAAGAAGTAGTAATAATGTATTTTTGATCAAAAAGAAATTATGCTCAGACATAAACCAAGATGTATTTCTAATGGACGTGAAGTCAAGAAATGTACTATTCAAAAGTTTTAAGCTTTAAATAAATTAGTTATACTTTTTCTCTAAGAGCTTGGTTGAAATAAAAAAGCTAGTGTAACGAGCGGGTTTCGAACCACGATTCATACGTCGCAGCTCTACCACTTGATCGAAAGCGATGGTTTCAGAGGTTTTGATCTCAAAGGCAGGGAAGGTCGCGGTAGGCCTTCCGTTGTGGACGTCGACCAATTCAAAACGTCCATTGAAGAAATTTCACAAGACAACACGGGAAATTGCGGAAGAGGTTAGTGATGGCCACTCAACCGTTGTTTGCCATCTGGAGCAATTGGTAAAGGAAAGAAGCTCGACAAATGGGTACCGCACGAACTAACCGAAGCCCAAAGAAATCGACGATTTGAAATTTGGGCGTCTCCTTTGTTCCGCCACCAAAATGATCCATTTCTCGATCGAATCATCACGTGCGATGAGGAATGAATTCTGTACGATAACAGAACAACTTGTCAGTTGTTGGACAAGGATAAAGCGCCAAAACACTGACCAAAACTAAATCTGCCAAAAAAAGGTTTGGTGGTGTACTGTTCGGGTTGTTCACTATTTATATAAAGTGATATTTATGTTTAGTACAAACAGCTGAGGTTATTACCAGCCCTCTTTTAAACTGCAGCAATTTGAGCGCCTTGATCTGGTTTCTGACTCTCCGCTTTTAAATGTGTACCACGTCGATATCCTAAAACGCTAGTCTCTCGTTTCTACCTCAGGTTGTCAAATACAGAATAGAAACAAAACATACAACACACACACACACACACACACACACACACACACACACACACACACACACACACACACACACATATATATATATATGTATATAGATTTATAGGTTATAACCAACCCATTCCTTTCACGCTAATAAATTATATTCATTCCAAAAAATTAACACAAACACAACACTAGATAGAAACATAGAAGTCCAGTCACATTCACTCCCCAAGCGTACTCGATATTACTTGGGGCGGGGTTAAATAAGCCCTTGTTCACTATAATTTTGAATTATGGTGAAACTATCACAAAAGACAATGCACGGGAAACTTCAACGTCTTTGACGTGCATTGGTAAACCGTAAAGAGCCGGTTCTTCACGATAACGCGAGGCCACATGTCGCAATGCTAACCATGCGGAAAATTAAGGACGTCGAAACCATACCACACCATCGATATTCATCCGACCTCTAGCAAGCCGACTTCCACTTTCTTATGCATTTTGATCACTTCTTGAGGGATAAAATTTTAAGAGAACGGGGTGAAGCCTAAAACGCCTTCCAAGGCTTATCACGTCATTACACTTTTCACTCCACGGCTTATCATAGCTCAACCAATATCATGTTGGTATTCATTGCATTAGTCAACTGATCGTAATAGTATCAGTCAAGGATAACCCATCGTCTCCTTGTCAATTTTTTTCAATATAACAACTGTTACAAATAATATATAATTATTTCTTTCGCTCCATAAAATTGATCAAATATGATGTGGTGGCCACCTGCAGTTACCAAGGAACCCGCTAGGTACCCCTACCAGTTATGGAATGGTCTCGCCCTCCACTCTGCAGCCAACCCTTTAGGATTTAAGCGGGGGCACTGCGCAACTGACTTCATTTTTGTCTCCCTGACGAGATCTCACATCACACCTCTGGACTCGTCTACCCGACGAGCTCTCACTAATCACTAATGGAGTACCGACAACTACAGCAAGGGTATTCGCAGGCCAACTTTGCACTCGGTTAACCGTTAACTACGAGTCCCTTCAACTGCTGTAGCGTCAACCGACTCATCCCCCCCTCCCCACGACTCCAGCCAACGGTTCTTCCGTCACGGACCACTAACAACGTACCAGCGGCATAATATACGCACAGTCCTGGTCTCAACGGTACAAAAATAACATCGGCCCTTCTCGGAGCCGCCAAAAACCCCCAGCCTAATTAAAAATGATTATATAACTTTTTTAAAGCTAAAACATGAATATGCAGTGATAAAAAATGTATACTGGAAGTGTCAACTGATAAGATAAAATAGAGAACTAACAATTTAAAAAAGGTCATTATTTCTACTCTCTGAAGCCAAGTTGATACGATTCTGAATTATTCTGTCTGTAAAATACTATAGCACTACAATGCAGGTAAGCTTAATTTTATCACATTTATATTTTAAGGTATTATAATTATATAACATTGTGTTTTAGAGTCTGGATGAAACGAACCGAAAAGTAATCAATGAATATAAAAAATTTAACGAGGGTATTCTTATTTAAAGCAATAACTTAATATTTAATAATCATGCTTGTCATTGTATTATCTAATCTACTATGATAATAAAAATCATATCACCTATTAGCAAATATTAAAACAATCAAGACTATTTGTTAATTATTTATATATTGCTATTTATGTTTGTTGCTATTAATGTTTTATAAACTGCAATTTTATAAAGTTCTAGGAGGTAATAAGGTAAGTACTTACCTATCTTTGCTCTCAATTGGATTATTGAGTGTAAAATATCTATAATCATGTCCTTCAAGTCTTCATTATGTTCAAAAGATGTAGCGGATAAATTTTACATCCAATGCTTTCTTATAAACAAGTGGTGCATAACATCAGTAGTCATTAATACAATTTCTTGAATTTAAAGCTCTCGATTTGGTGCTATCTAAAGTTTTTAACATGTATGGAACTGAACTATGAAGTGGTTTAATGTGATGCACATCATCCGCCTATTAATGTTAATGTTCCTATAGAAATTAATGTTGGACTTAACTTTTCCGACATAGTGTTTGACATTGCATAAATTAATGTGAAATTATTTGATATTACAATCTTTATCTTTTAAAAAAATGGCCATATAGCTATGACATGGAATGGAGTGTGTTAATTGATTATTTAAATTGTCAAAATTGCAGAAATTATTATTAGTGCATCAAGCACACTAAGGAGCTTACATTGTATTGTGTACTAGACCGTTGTTTTTGTTTGATGATTTTTGCTATTTTATGCATGAACTTTTGAAATGTTATACAAAACGATAATAGATGTACCTAATTTACATGAAATTTCAGTATTGTTTGATGTTATTGGTTGGTTATGTTATGGTTTTTCATGTTATATCTGAAGTTCATTTTTGTTTCATAGTATCATCTATTTATTTATATAATACTAAGTTCATTCATGCTTTGTTCTAAGGCCCAATTACACTGGATTGGTCAAATCAACCTAAGGCTTCTCCAGGCTGCTCAAAGCCTGGAAGCAAATCAGGTTGACAGTTTTACTATAGGGTAGGGATAAACCAAACTGCCCAGGTCAAATGTTTTGTTTGTTTTAGTCTGTTCCAGACATAATTAGTCATTGCCTGGTGTTGTCTCATGAATCCTGGTTTGTTTCAAATATTCCAACACAAAAGTGGCATATGTTGAAATCCCACGTCTCTATCTTTAAAAAAAAAAAAACTTCTGCTATTGACAAGGTTGCAGACTCAATGATTCATTTCTGAAGTTCAGAACAAAGACAAAGTAAACGGAAAACTTCACATTTCTCTCAAGAATGTCCGAAGGAAGATTCCCCTTTTTTTACATATTTTTTAATTGCAAGGAGATTAAAATTTCCTATTTCCTTCTAGTTTCCACAATTATTCGTCCTAATTACATACATAAAGAATTTGAGCATGTGTTATGAAGATGACCTTCAACATGAATCTTATTTCATTATTTTTTCAATTATCACAATTTTTTCAATTATTTATTTCAATAATGTTATTAAATAAGTTTGCAGTTGTATAGATATGAATTTATAGATATTTTTCAGAATTTAAAAAACAGTCTTTGAAGGTGAGCACTTGAATTTGTGCAACCATGTTTTGCTTACATTTTCAATTAACGATTAAATAAATTAACAATGGATGAAATTGTATTTTAATTCATAAATTATTTTTCAGAAGATGAAAAAACGTGGAAGGGACCTTTCTACTTTGTTCAGGGTGCAGATTGTCAATTTGGCTTAATAGCAAGGTATTTGGAAAAGAAGGAAACACCCAACTGGGACAAAGAAATTGCCCTTTCCAAAAAATGCGTCGAACTGATAAACTCACTAGAGCCAAAACCCAAGTTTTTTGTCATCTGTGGTGATCTCGCAGATGCATACCCTGGTATGTTACGCATTAGGGTATTTTAGATATAAACTAACAAGAAACTAAATTTAAAAATATAGAACCTGGAACTGCCACTATTCGAGAAAAACAGGTCATAGATTTCCATAAAATTTTTGGCAGAGTGGACAAATCGATTCCAGTGGTTTGCCTCTGTGGAAATCATGATGTAGGAGAACAACCAACTATTGAAGCAGTCTCAACGTTAGTACTTAACATTATTTCATGACTATTTTTATAATACATTCATTTTTTTTTTACTTAACAGGTACAAGTCAGATTTTGGAGATGATTACTTTTCATTTTGGGCCGGTGGAGTTCTTTTCATCTGTCTTAACAGTCAATATTTTGTAGACGGTAGCAAAATACTGGACTTGGTGAAAAGTCAAAATGAATGGTTAGACGAACAACTTGAATTGTCTAAAAATTCAAAAAATGGCGCTGTGATTTTTCAACACATAGCACCATTTATAGATGACCCAGAATGCGAAGATACCTACTTTTGTCTGAAACGCAGTGTGAGAAAATCACTCATGGACAAATGGCTAAAAGCAGGTAATATCAAACTTGTAACTGCTTCTTTCACATTCTCAGATTTATGTCTTTTGTAGGTGTACGTTATGTCTTCTGTGGACACTGTCATCACAACGCCGGCGGAATGTACAAATCGCTCGAATGCATCATAACAACAGCAATTGGAGGACAGATTGGTGGGGATTCTGCAGGGTTCAGAATTGTTAAAGTTTATGACAATTCCATTAAGCATGATTACTATGCATTTGAAAATGTCCCTAAAAGTGTAAAACTATAATTAAATCCAATTTAAATTGTTCAACATTGCAATGGTAGAACTGATCTGTCTATTCTGTCTTTGCTCATCAGATGCACTACAATATTTCAGCATCTTTGAAACTTCATTTATTAAAGCCACATTAACCCATAAAAAGGGTAGAAAAATTATCATGGTACAACTTCAATTTAACTAAAAATCTAAATACAAACTAATTTTAAACATCAATATTTGTTAAACATTCATGAATAAATGCTTTTCTATTAAATGCCTTTTTCATATACCACATTCATATTACTGTATAGAAGGTAGGTTTCTAAAAGCTACTCTAAAACATTCTCGTTTAAGAATTTTACCTACTTTTTCTGACAGTTTCCCAATGTATGGCAAGTGATGAAAACCTAATGATTCATTTTTGGTGCAATGGCTGAGTCCGATTGTTGCTTCTTCTAAAGGTAGGTCTTTTTCACTAACATCCTATCGATAAATATTTCTTGATATCCATTGTTTTAGCCAAGGTTGTGATGGTTTGTAATTATTTTTTGTAATTAGCTGGTGGAGTTTCAACATACTGTCTATGAGCCAAATGAAACCTGAAATGAAAGCTGGTTAGGTCCATGGGTGAGAAGAATCTGCTGGTATCTGGTGTCTGTAGTGAAGGTTTTCTATGTACATCCATTTCCATTAGGTTATTTATTTTTTTATTTTTATTACGAGGGTTCGCAACTCGCAACATCAGAGGCCAAACCCTCAGGGTGCAGGTGATTTTGAAAAAAAAAAAAACATTTGTAAGCATGTCGGGTTCGAATGCAGGGATGCTGGAGTTGAACTCGAGGCCTTTACCCGACAGTGATCAGTGCCATGTCAATGCCTAAACCATTGTGGGTACCGACACCCCTTAGGATTATTTATTATAGACAGTTTTATATCTAAAATGTTTAAACAACCATCTTCATTTATTTCCAATATAAAATTTATACTAAGGTGTAAAGAATTAATTATTTTGAGGATTTTTTGATCCTCTAAGTGTTCCCGACCATATACATAAAATATCATCTACATACCATTTCCAAAACAGAGCAGATTTATTTTTTTTTTTTTTATTTACATATATTATGCAGGGTGGGCGACCAAGACCCTAGGGGTTAAATGCCTGGGCAGACTCGTACCCCATCCCTAAAAGGTCCGAGACTTGGTCGGCTCACGTGTCCTGCATAAATCTCTTGGACTTGTTCACAAACCCCAAGATTTTGGATCATTTTATCTCAGGGAGTGATTTAGTGATGTCCTCTCCTTCAAAGATTTCAAATCTAGACCTAGCATACGTATCACACTCTTCGAGGTAGGGCCTTGCCGTCTCCTCTTTTATTTTGCAAAAATGGCAAAAGGGATCTGGTGGAATACCCATTACGGAGAAGGGTCTTCTCAGTTGGCAGTGGCTCGTCAGGATATCTATCAGCCTCCTAATTCCCTTCCTTGAGTTAGAGAATAGCCATTTCGATTCTGCTGGTTTGATCACCTGCCTGTGTCTGGGGGATAGATTCCATTCCTTAAGGAATTGTTTCTTTTAATACTCTCTTTCGCTGTGCCCATAGAGTGAGGTAATACCGGTGGCCCGACAAACGCAGTATTAGAAAATTGGCCAGGCTATCCGCCTCTTCATTGCCATAGTGTCCTTTATATGCTGGTATCCAAATAAGGGTCACCTTGTTCTCAAACCTGGAAGAGATCCTGTTGATAAGATCTACAATTTCCTCCACCAGGCTAGAGGTTGAAAAATCTTTTTGTAATGAACTAAGACAAGCCTGACTGTCAGAAAAAATTCTAATATCTTTTCCCTTGATTTTATTTTCCATAAGTGTTCTACAACAAACATTAATGGCCCAGATTTCCGCCTGAAAAACGGAGGTGTTATTGCCAAGAGGGGAGGAGATGCTGATACCTAATTTAGGTATATAGATTCCTGCACTGCTCCCTTTACCTTTGATAAGTGAACCATCTGTATAGCAGTCTATTGTCATCATCCACACTATAATTATATTCCCAAGGAATAACTACCTGAAAGTACTTTTCCCCCGAAGGGGTTTTAAAGTTTTTATCCGTAACACTTAATAATTGGCCGTTAACCTTACTCAATAGTTGTAAGATTTTCAAGTGACCTATGTTATTGCACTTATGATTCCAGCTGCCTTCACTAATTAATCTGTAGCAGCTGATTAGTGCTCTGACCTTAGCCTCAATGTGTAGAGGTATGGTATTGGTTATGATTTCAAGTGCTAGGGTGGGTGTAGTTGAAAATGCTCCTGTCATCATCAAACAACCTAGTATTTGAAATGACCTTAATTTATTACTATTCCCTTTATTTTCTAGACCTTTCCACCATACTAAACCTGCGAACAATAATCTAGGTAAAATAATTGCCTTTATTTTTTTATTTAATTTGAAAACAATTTTTTTAAAGTTATCCATGAATATTTCAGATCAAATTGAGGATAATAGCGACCCCATAGGTAACCCTTTCATTTCATAAAATTTATTATTGAATTTACAATAATTAGATAGTAGGTGTATATTTAAGAAGTCTATTACATCATTTTTTTTACAAATTTGTTAATAGAATCATCCGTAAGTTTTTGTTTTATTAGTTCTATACAATCTTTAACAGGGTTGTTTCAGTATAAATTAATAACATCAAATAGTCGTATGTTTTTCGCAGTTTTTGGCTTTTTTTCTCAGGGATGGATATTTAATTAAAAAAACATCAATAATAATCAAAATAAAAGTGGCGTGTTCAGGTACTTCAGTCATTTGTTGTGCTTAGGTTCTAACTTCATACTATATTAAGTTTACCAGTTTAAAAAATAAATAATTTGACAAATAAAAAATTTAATTAATAAATAATCAAATTATTATATATCATTTACAGTAAATCGAAACCATGACTAGATGCAATTTTGTCAAAGTAGGCACAGTTGCAATTTACTGTAAATAATATTTATGAATTAGATTTCTTGATTGTTATTTATTTGTTAAATTATTATTTGTTAAACTGTAAAAACATAATATTGTAGAAAGTAAGAACATAAAAATAAAAAATTAACGTACCTGAACGTGTCGCTTTTATTTTTATTATTATTTATGTTTTTTAATTAAATATCCAGTCCTGAGAAAAGCTTAATAAAGCTTTGCAAAAAAGATTCCACTACTTCATTTTGGGCCACATACCTGATCCCAATCATCAATTGTTAATCATCGCTGGTCAATAATTTTCTGCGTGCTGTTTTACCAATTCTGAAGAATTGTTAATACCAAATGTGGTGTGTTTTAATTATTTTATCAATTTTAGGTGTAGGTTTGTTTTCCTTGTGAGTTTTGAGAGTAACGTATAAATTGGGGATTTCGGATTTATTGGTATTAAATAACTGCATATTGGTCATTTTGGAATAAAAAGTCACTATTTTTTATGGCTGTTTTGAATTCTAGATTTTAATTTTAAGGTGGGATCGTATTTATTTCTTTACAATCGTTATTGTTTAGAAATTCTTCAACTTTAGAAACATTTTTGATTGTCAGTGATAACTACACTATTTCCTTTATCACTTTTAAAATAATGTGTGGTGATTAGTGACCGTTAGTCGATGATTATTCAGAAATTGTGTGATGTAGGTTTCAGAAAAACATTTTCTTTATCGTGCCAATATTTCGATCTTTATTGAGATCATCCTCAGGGCCTGGGATTTACAAACATTCTTTAAATTTAACAAAAACATGTAGGATGTGGAAAAAGTGAATTTATACAATGCAAAATATATTTTTTTATATTCAATCAAAGTATTTCTACTCACTCAAAGTGTTTGTTTTCTGTGTAATTGTGCCATTCTTTTTCTTGCGTGTCGTGTTGAGAGTGCCAGTGAGATATTGCTATTCTATCAGAAATCGTGAGATGCGATCTGGTGTGAATTTTAGGGATAGAAAATCATTTTCTTTATCTCGCCAACGTTCGATCTTTATTGAGATCATCTTCAGGACCTGGGATATACAAACATTGTTTAAATTTAAAAAATACATGTAGGATGTGGAAAAAGACCCAGGCCCTGAAGATGATCTCAATAAAGATCGAACGTTGGCAAGATAAAGAAAATGATTTTCTACCTCTAAAATTCACACCAGATCGCATCTCACGATTTCTGATAAAACAGCAATATCTCACTGGCACTCTCAACACGACACCCAATAATGGCACAATTACACAGAAAACAAACACTTTGAATGAGTAGAAATACTTGATTGAATATAAAAAATATTATTTTGCATTGTATAAATTAAATTTTTTCCACATCCTGCATGTATTTGTTAAATTTCAACAATGTAAATCCCAGGCTCTGAAGATGACCTCAATAAAGATCGAAACGTTGGCACGATAAAGAAAATGTTTTTCTGAAACCTACGTCACACCAGACCGCATCTCACGATTTTTAAAATAATGTTGTTGTTACTTTTCATTTCATCACTAAACCTAATTGTAGATGGGATATTTAATTTTTGGACATATAGGTGTGCATATAAGTGAATAAACTTAACTTTTATGCATTCATTTTAATTTGATATTTTTCATGTTATTTGATGCATGCAATACTTTATACTAATGTAAGTGATGAGTATTTAATATTTTTAAGGGGGGAGATTTCAAGTTGAAAAAATACTCAATGTAACAAAATAAATAAACCTTATTTTTTATAATCTATTATTATTTTTGAAATTAAACGTTTAAAAAACGTTTTCACATTTTCACAAGGTTGGTTCAGAATTTCAATAGTTAAAGTGCAGCTCCAATAACACCACTGACATAATTATTGATTAAGTATTTACATGATTATTTTATTTGCTCATGTCAAAAAATGTATGTTACATGTTTACAAATATGTAAACTAATCCTATACATTAAAATGATAAAACAATTTTGATTTGTTCATCAAAAATTTGTTTTAAAAGAAAAGGTCAGGTAACAATTTTCATCATTGAAATACATAATACAATAAATTACTACTTTTAATTTGGCACATTTTAAAGTCATTAAAGTTTGAAGTGATAAAATATCAATGTTTAAAATAATCTTTAATAGAAACTATGCTTAAAAATAAATTAATTAATAAATTGAGGCATTAAAAAAATAAAAATAAAAGTGTTTGAGCTGAGACTCTATGTATATTCACAAGTTTCAGGGCATTCTTCATTTTCACTACCAGGGGCACTATCATCCTTATTTGTATTCATTTTGTCATACCAAACTTCACAGTTGGGGCTCATACTTGAAGCCCTTTCTTCATCCTTCTTTTGTTGAGGCCTGGCATCTTCCAGCGATCTGCATTTGCCATCTGGACCCACTTTTCCTGGTTTATAGTTTTGTATGACATTAAGATAATTGGCCTTTTTGAGGTTTAACTTGTCTTCGAGAGCATTTAAGCTGCTTGTAGGAACGATTCTGTGAGGGAATCTTGGTGATCCTTTTGGTCGTTCCTTATAGAGAATCGGTTGGGAGCTCTGTAGCTGGATTGAAAATGAAACACGAGGCTGAGATAAAGATTGTACAGATCTTGCCTGAATTCTGTTGTGGTCTTCTTCGCCATCACTTATTTCTTCTTTACCCAAACCGAGAGAATACTTCCTCCCTCTGATATCAAAGTCATCTATGTTGACAAACGGTGCCTTATTAATTCCTGTTCTACTTGTATTGCAGGATGACTCACAACTTTCTGAATTGCTCTTGTTTCCAGGAACAAATCCTGCAAAATATTCCATGTGCGCTCTGAAAGCTGAAGCCAAACCACCTGCTGTTGGGGCTGAAATTTTTCTAACTGCCGGCTTTGGCGTTATCATATTTAGCAATTTACCAAAAACCGACACTTTAGAAGGCTCTGTGCTTGAAATTGAATCTCTTTGACAAAAGTTCATCTTGCCCGACAAAGCCTTTTTCTCGTCTAATTTTGATTCTGAACTGAAAGTGACACTCCGGCGCATGGGCTGGGAGCAATGTTCTTCAGTAGGCCAACTAGCTCTTGGTATCACAGGTGGCAAAACAGATAATAGAAGCATTGGTATACCTCCGCTCACACTTGGAGACTTTCCTCTCGGTGGCACAGGAAGGGAAAGCCTTTCCAAAGCTTCTTCTATTTCACTCTGGAAACAATAAATACTGTCATTAAGTCAATTCTTTAAAAAAAAAATTTGGTTTTAAAGCACCTTTGGGGCCATAATTGATGACCGTGAACTGCATGAAGAAGCTTCGTTAGTAAGCTGTTTTTCTAGTTTAGCTATTTCATTATCCAAAAGATGTAATTCTCTCCTGTACACTTTATTTTGAACTTCAACACGAAAATAAAGTTCTCTTCTATCATCTGTGAGAAACCTAAACAAACATTTTAATTTTTAAACTTCAACATAAAATGAAAAATATACAATTTTATGTAAATTGATAAAACCTTCTAGTGTTGCATTCTATCTTTAACCCCATACTCTGCATTATCGGATCAAGGGTCGCAGTACTCCCAGTATGTACTAAAATATCATGAAGCTTTGGGATAAATAGAAGGCAAAGAGACCCTGTTGTCGAGACTAGAATCGGAATTGTGATTGTTAGAAATGCCAGCGTTACTCTTTCAGAAATCAGATTGGCAAGGACGACAACCAGCACACTGGTTATGACAACGCTGTATACACTGAGGCCAATGTATTGCGAATCATTTAACGCTGGTATTTTTACATGTCTGAAATTGATTGAAAATTAAATATTGGATACTTTAATACTGTTTTTATTGGATGTATGTATGGTTAATAAATAAAATCCAAACCTTGTTTCCCAAGCCATGTATACACCAACGACAAGTAATAACCCCTTGTAAATGTAAAGTGCACCCAGCCAGCTATGTATGAACTGTGAGGAGCAGACTTCAATCTAAAAACAAAGAAAAACTGACTAATAATACAGTATTATTCCAAAGATTGCAAAATAACTTCTTTTGCATGCACCTTTCACACTATAACAATCCTTTCCTCCCGAGCAACTGTTAAACCCCTATAAATTATAACCATAACTTAGAAAGTGCGCTTTTTCTTATAAGATTAAGGACTTTCCTCTCCACCTCTCCACAAACCTCTCTGTACTTGGGGCTAATGCGTTCATGAAGGATCTGTTCTGATGTCTATAGTTCCTCCTGATAGTTGCATCATGTTTCTGTCTTTGCTATGCACATCTTCTTTACATGATATTTAAAAGGGCAATGGCCTATATACAGGCCTTTTTTTCTCAAATCCTGCCTGGAGAGAGAGGAGTTTCTTTGCCTTCTTTTGTGAGCTTTATAAAGCTCTTCATTGAACCCACTTTAAGGTAACCTTGTTTTATTTTCACAGTGTCATTAGGCAGTTTAGGCAGTCCCAGACAAGTTTGGAGATGAAAGCATAATATACATTTAATGCCTTTATGGCTGCTTGGCTTTCTGATAATATTTGTGCACCTTTCATATTTTATTTATGCTGCGCTCAGAGTCGTATTGCATGGACTTCAGCTTGGAAAATTATTGAGGTTAGTCCAAAGGGCTTGCTAGGGTGTAATTCTTTTATGAATGCACAAAAATTTCCTTTCATATTTATACATAGGTAGTTCATAAACAAATGACATGGTTAAAAATAAATGGCAAGAATCAATTAAGTGGGCTATCAATACACAGTATTTTAGGTATTCAGGTACACAAATTTATTCAAATCTTGAGATCAATGCTGGAAAACTAGTTATGTAAATTAGTTAATCAACAGTTAAGCAATTCCCTTGTGTCTGGCTGATAATTGTGATGAAATTAGGATTGGCCAGAATGAGGTGAGCACTGGATCCGTATTGTTGTGGATATCCAGTCGTTGGCTTGGAGTGACACAAGGGTTGAAAATGGAATGACAATTACACCGGGTTGTAAAACATGTACGTGAGCCTATCACTTCTCACAATGTACTAGTGATTCCATTAATTTATAATTCTAATGTCCATTATAATTTACAAAAAAAATACCAGGGTTCAGCCTTATCCATCTGGGTTGGACCCACACAGCAAGCAGGGTTGGAGCACACCAAGTTGGGCTTTAAGGGCTATCAACAGAGATAATTCCCGAACGCAATCAGTCTCCAAATCCAGACCAATCGCACTTTACTCATTCTTTCCTATTTATGTACAATTCACTCACAATTAGTTAGGGTGGTGGAGTAGTTGATATTCCTTCATCACTTCTACACAATTATATAATTAATCTAATTGAGGCCCCTCTCACACTACATGTTCATGCTAATAAATACATTCAGTCTCTATATACAGTAAAACAGTCCTGTTTCCATTAAAAAATCAAAACAATTACACACTGGTGTGTTCAAGCATCATTTTCATATTCCTATACGCTCTCTATATGGAGCCAAGAAAAGGCACCCTTCAATTAAGTGCGTCACATTGAGTAACCATTCTCTTCATGGCTTTGGCCCAAAAGTAGGTGTCTGTTTGTCCACCTTGCTTGGCCTATCCTTAATCGAGACGCTCTGAAGAGAGATTAAATATGTTGTTTTTATTTGCCAATTTCATTTGAGGTCTGGCATTTTTGCAAGATGTTTTCGTATATTGAGAAAAATAGTTTCAATTTTATTTAATGTGGTTTTTTATTATTATAAAGGGACAACCATAGCACAGACTACTAGGAAAATTTGCGACGTGTATAGTGATGATGCTTTAAGAGAAATCACAGCCTATAAGCTCTGTTCAGAATGGCAGAGGCTTTGTCCGGGAAGAGGCAAAATGCTCTGGTCATTCTTCAAACATTGATGATGACCGAATTCAAGCTTTTGTCACAGATAACCCATACTGCCAAAAACACATCTCTGATTTAATCACTCAAAACCTAACAAATTCAAGGCAGGATAACAAAAATTGTCTAAGGCAACAAAATAATTTATATATTGTAGATTAAATTTGTTTACAAATACCAGAAATTTTCACTGGAATTACCAGCAAAAAATTTTATGTATTTATTTTATGACCCAATATTTAGTTATGAACTAAAATAAAGCTAATTAACTTATTCAAATTTGGAGCTCTGAAGCACAATTTGGATATGATTATTTTTTGGCAATTAAAACGATCCAGGCTAATTCTACTATTGTACAAGTTCCTCTTAGGAGGGGCAGTCTTGTAATAAACCTAGTTTCTCTAACTGTAGTACTAATTCTACTGTAGATTATTAAACAAAAAGTTTACAAAACAATTAATAATTAATATGTTGATTTTACTTAATTAATTTGTGAAACCAAATAGATAAAGTACATCAATTCAAGCCATTATTAATTGAAATTGAAAACTCGTTCTTCCATATCGATCAGAAATTATCTCTACAATTTATCTTTCAATTTGCGTCTAATACAATCGCCATCAGAGCTGGTTAAGTTGTGCAGTTTGACCAATGGGAGGGTGTCTGTGACACAATTGAATAGGGGCAGGGAGAGAAAAACTGGTGAGATAAATTCTAAACGTATGTCCCTCTAAATGGGAGACTGGGTGATATTTCAGACGAGGGTTCGTTACTTTTTAACTTTTAATTGCAGAATGAAATTAAATTACCAAAACCAAAGTATCAAACATACAAAATAAACTCGTCGAAAAGCAAATATATTTATAGTGATGAAGTATATATTTATTTTTTAGTTATGAATTGTAAGATAGAAAAAAAACGGCACCTTAACGATCTGCAGTTCAGTGATACACGTCTTAAGATACTTTAAAATCTATTATTCTTAACCTAGAAGACAGTCGGTGGCCGCAACAGTTTAGGCGTTGACACGGCGCTTATCACTGTAAGGTAAAGGTCCCGGGTTCGAACCTAGCGGCCCGGCATTCGAACCCGACATACTTACAAATGGGCCTTTTTTCAAAAACACCGGCACCCCGAGGGTTGATATAACCTCTGCTGTTGCGAACCCTCGTTCTGATCTGAGATCTGAACGATAAACCGGATTTGGGAGATGTTGTTTGCAAGTAGGAAGCTGTTTTCAGCCTAGGTTTTATACACAGACTCTAAATCAGAGAGAGGAGTTTGGGCAGTGGTGGGTAATACCAACAAAACATGAAATATTGATCCAACTGCCAATCATCATTTTTACTGCAGAGGCCTTGAGCTGCATTATGGAAGCCAGGAAGAGCCGTAATGTATCGTACTAAGGGTACCAACGGCTGCAATAAACGGCAACTCACATGACCCCAAGATTGTCATAATGAGACAAAGATTTAAGGAATGGAAAATAAAGCAAAAAAATGTGTATATAATGTCGGTAAAGGGCCATAGCAAAAACCCATATAATAAGAAAGTGGACGTATTAGCTAAGAAAGCAGCATGAAGCGGAGCCACACGGAATGACATTACTGAAAGTGCCAGCACTAAAACGAAGTGTGATGCAAACAGAAAGGTGTACGCATCCATATAGCCAAATATCCATCCCAAACCGTGGTTCGCGAGAATGAATGGCCCTAAGAAACTGTTCCTTATGTGGATAAGACTCCGATTGAACCAGATTAAACACTCTTATCTACCATCTATACGAAATAGGCGTCACTGACCCTACGTGTTAATGTGATGGAATCACCAATCAATCATGTCCTTCTCCTCTAAGCTCCTACAGTACATTACAGCATCCGAGCGCGCTAGGGCATTCTGCTCCGGGCAGTGAGGGGTGTGGACTTCTAGATGCAATGTAGATCGTTTTTATCGACGACCCCGTGCACTTATCGTTAACGTAGAACAATGATAGAACAGTAATGGAGTAGAGTGCCTGGCTGTCCATTCTGGGGTCGTCAGAAGGGTCGCTTGCTTTGGTGGTCGGGCTCGCCACCCTCCTTCCCTCAGATAGAAGAAAAAGGGAAAAACTGTCCACTTATTCGAAAATTAGGAAAAATAGTTTATATTTATTAAAGACAGGGTGGTTTGTTATGATAAAGAAAAAAATGGATGGTAGTAAACTATAAAATATAATGTCGTAAAAACGGGTTTTTTAACTCCTCCGTCTAGAAGATAAGATTTTTTTTAAATGTATTTAAACGGACGACGCAAAAACGCAACAAGATTATTACCTATACTTATCCATTTTTCACCGAAATTGAGGACATTTTTAAATCCATTTTCCAACTTCACACAAAATGCAACAAGCAAAAAATTACTTTATTTACAAGGATATCTATACATGCACTTTTTTGTAAATAAAAAGTACCTCACAAAAGAGAATTTTTGTTTGGGTTAATTTGGCGCTGTTTATAAAATGCATATGCATCACAGTGTATGTTGAAGAAATTAATTTACAAGTATTTCAGTAAATATTTTTTTATTGTTTTTCATTTTTAACCTAGTTTTTAGCTTGTTTTGTTTTTGTATTACCGGCTATGACAGATGGTTCAATGACTATTTCCACTAGATGTTTATTTATTTGTGCTGTTTTTTTAAAGTAAAATGTTTAATAAAATAAACATTATTATTATTATTACAATTCGAAAGATTATTAAATGAAGCAGTTTTTGTGTAATTAGCCAATCATTAGGAGAATTTGTTAAAGAGTAGTGATTATTTTTTGTAATTTTTCAGATGTTCAAAGTTTGTAGGATTGTGACTCATTCTTTAAATTTGTTTTTAATTTTGTTTTATTTATTGCCCTGAAATATGCAATAATATGCAGTGTTAATACGTTAAAAGTTAAGAGTTTTTTCCCTCAGGGTGCCGGTGTTTTTGAAAAAAGTTGTAAATATGTCGCGTTTGAATACCGGGCCGCTGGATTCGAACCCGGGATCTTTACCTTACAGTGATGAGCGCCGTGTTAACGCCAACCGTTGCGGCCACCGACGCTTCCTAGAGTTTATTTACATTTAATAAAATTATTTTCTACTTA